TTACAGAACAACCATTATACCTCCCCAGCTCCACATAAGACATACTTCTCAGGAAAAAAGAAAGAAAGAAAGAAAGAAAGAAAGAAAGAAAGAAAGAAAGAAAGAAAGAAAGAAAGAAAGAAAGAAAGAAAGAAAGAGAGAGAGAGAGAGAGAGAGAGAGAGAGAGGGAGGGAGGGAGGGAGGGAGGGAGGGAGGAAGGAAGGAAGGAAGGAAGGAAGTCATTTCTTGCGGGGGTGGGGGTCGACTGAAAGGAAAGAGACTGAGAAACAATCTGATATTGTAATCGAGTTGATTTGTTAGTTGTACCTTCCTTAGGAAATATTTGTTAAACTGAATGCTGGTTATGCAGAAATCAGTCAGCCCCAAGCTCTGTTAGGAAAAGTTCGTTGTTTTCTTGCTGGGGTTATAAGAAAGCCCATTATCATCCGGGACTATATTTGTGCTGCAACTTAAGTCACCCGGTGTATTTCCCGGACACCCTCTGAGCATTTGCAATGGCTTTTATGTCTCCTTTGCCAATGAGTTAGTATTATTTCCAAATCACGGTACAAGTGAGAGTAGGCAACGTTTCTTTTTTAAAAATAAATTTGGACGCAATCAACTCCGTTCTTCCCTCGGCTCCTCCCTATGGGCTTCCTGCATCCTTCCCCTACCCACGCCCCTCGCTGAAATACTTATATTCTCCTCCCTAGCGTGCTCCTCCCCTCCTTTCTGAATCCCTCAAAGTCAGAACTTCCTTATTCTCTCATTCTGCTCCCTCCCCTGCCCGGAACCTGGCCCCCCGTACACACTATGTGAAACTTTGGGGATCCAGGACTGCGGCTGGGGATGCTCAAGGAGACGTTGCAAGCAGGTCCTCGCTTCCGCTGAGCTCTTTGCTGTAAGCAATGGAGACTCACAAGCATTTCCCAGCTCTGAAGGACTTGATGAGATGATACACACCACAATAAGGAAAGAGCGATCTCAGCCCAGAGACTAAGTCGCTCCATGTGGGAGCCTCTGCTGAGTGACGAGGCCTCTTTTCTCCCCGTTGGCCTGTTGCTTTGATGCCATTCTTTGTCACCACACCTGCCTGTGGGTGGGCTTCTCCCTTCCTCTCTTCCTCCCCTGCTGTGGAGCTGGAGTCAGCTCTTGGTCCTCAGACCTGTGACTGCGTCTTCACCCGCATCGCCCCAGCAAGGGTGAGCTTCCCTGAGCGGCTTCTCTCCTTGTCTACCTTTGGATTCCTCCCGAGGGGGCCTCTGTCTCTCTTCCTCCCACCAGCCGTCACTGGGATCCGTCCCCAACCCTGCCTTGACCCTGGGAGTCCATCCAGTCCCCAGCCTGGCCCTTCCCACTACGGCCCGAGCCCTGGACCTTCTGTCCATTCCCTCTAATGGTTTGTTGAGTGACTACTGTGTCATTCACAGTTCCAAACCGCTCTGAGGACATAACTAGGAGTAAGACGAAGGTCCCTGCCCTTAAAGAGCTCAACATTGAGGAGTTTTGATAAGAGCTTCAACTGAATGGGTCAATCAGTGAGGGATTGGAAGCTATTTTGAATTGAGAGCAAAAAGATTAGGAGGGGAAAAAATGGACCAAAGGAAGTAAGAAGGAGAGTTTGTGACCTGAAGGTGACATAGGTTATATAATGACAGCCTGGTAGAGCCAGAGTTTGGCTCGGCGTGGCTCATTTGGAAGGTAGAATCACGCTGTTGTGACACAAAGCGAGTATTTCATTGCTCGTTCTTCCTATTGAGACTCCCAGGAAACTGAACAGCGTGGAACAGTTGCGGCACTGGGCCATTTTATCTGTGTCTCCCTCTCCCTGCCCCTCTCTGTCTCTCTCAAAACATAAATAAATACATACATAAATAAATAAACACATACATACATAAACAAACACTAGAACTAGCTCAAGGAAGGTGAAAAAAAATTAAAGGTCTTCCAAATTATTTTATTAGAAGTGTGGTTTCATTTTTTTTTCATGTTTGAAATCTCAGAGTAATTAGGTTTTCAGAAATCGCTTTTGAAATATGTTATAAAATTATTTATCCTAGGGGCCCCTCGGTGTCTCAGTTGGTTGAGCATCCGACTCTTGATTGCCGCTCAGGTCACGATCCCAGGGTCATGGGATCAAGCCCTGCCTCGGGCTCCGCACTGAGCGTGGAGACTGCTTGGGATTTTCTCTCCCTCTCTCTCCCCGCCCCTTCCCCTCGCGCGCTCCCTCCCTCTCCCTCTGTCTCTCCCTCTCTCTATCAAAAAAATTTTACCCTAATGAGACTAAACTTTTATTAACTGCTTATCTACAGCATGACCATGAAAAAAAACCTTAATGGTTTGGGTTTTTTTTTATGTTTTATTTATTTCTAGGAGAGAGAGAGAGAGAGAGACAGCGTGAGCAGGGGAGGGTCAGAGAGAGAGGGAGTCACAGACTGAAACAGGCTCCAGGCTCCGAGCTGGCAGTCAGCACAGAGCCCGACGCGGGGCTCGAACCCACGAACCGCGAGATCATGACCTAAGCGAAAGTCGGACGCTTAACCGACTAAGCCACCCAGGCGCCCCAAACCCTAATGGTTTTTGAAGAAGAATAAGGTATGTTGATATGGTCCTGCCTCCTCCCAAACTCCCTGTGCGCCACCGAACACATCACACTGTCCCTTTTTTTTGCCTTCTCACGGGGGACTCATAGCGGGGTGTTTTTGGTCTGCTTTCACACGAGAACCCTGAAATCATTCCAGTCTGGTCAGCGCCCTGTTTCTCCCTATTTTCATAGCGCTTCACACACTGACACTGTTGATGTGTCTGTCTTCTCGGTGTAGAAGTAAGTCCCTGAGGGTCCTGTATTCCTCATCTTGCATTTCTCAGGACCTCACAAGTGTCTGCACCACGGTTGGCTCTCCGTAAATGCTTATGAATCCACGAGTAAGTCCATTCACAGGCCTAAACTGTTTTTTAAATACTTTTAAATGCCTTCCAAGAAGGCATTGAAGAGCTCGGATAAAATAAAAATTTATAAATAAGCTGGAGGAACATGCCAATCCCAAGTACTAAATCACTAGTACACTTGTTTCGATCGGTTCATGAGATGATTTTGTCAGTTACCTCATGAGTACTGAGATCATGAGACACAGAGAAAGTTGAGTTTTAACTGGAGGAGGTAGGAGCCGGAGACAACAGACTTACGCAAGGTCCCGCAGTGATCAGACCTGCGTCAGGAAGACAGAGGACACTGCAAGGGACTCACTGCTCAACGGGGGTTGATGTTAACAGTGCAAGTAGGGAAAGGGGCATGGAGGCTGTGATAAACCGGGGACAAAGCTTGCTTAATATGCTGTTGAAAATCCGTGTGACCTTGCTGGAGTGATTTATTCAACAAATATCCACTGAAGGCTTAACATGTGCCAGGCACTGGGCTAGGGAATTGGGGACTATGAACCCAGAGCCTCTCCCACATGGGTTCTCCCACATGCGTTACCTGGACCTTGGAACTTACTGGAAATGCAAACTATTCAAGTTCCCTCGACAAAGTGACTCAGACACTGTGGGAGCAGGGCCCAGCAATCTGTTGTACTGAACCCCCTAAGTAGGTCTGTTGCACACTAATGTTTGAAAATCACTGGCTTATCCCAAATTGGGAGGACCCGAGGAAGAAGCAGATAATTCCCATATGGTGAGGGAAGAGCTCTGACGATGCTGAATAGGTTTGGTGACAGCAATAAAGAGTCATTTCATTCTGACAGGGTCGGTGGGGAGGGAATAGCAAGGGAAGATTTTCTCAAAGACAGAACACCGGGGCCTGAGTCTGAAGGAATATATGAATGAGCCAGATGAAGTGGGATGAGGGGCATTCTCAGGCCAGAAGGGTTTGTGCAAAGGCCCAGGGGTAGGAAAAAGAGAGAGAGAGAGAGAGAGAATGTGAGCGCGCAAAGGGGAAGGGGAAGGAAGAAGGTGGAGGTGCCGTTCACGAATATCCATGAAAAATAAATTCTTACATACATTTTTAAGCTGTTTATAGACTGCCCCTTTCAGAGACCTTAACTGAAATCTTTCTGCGAGGACTCTGCTTCCCTTGCAGCCCTCGTGAGCCGGGCAGCTCATTCTTTCCGGCCCCGTGCAGGGTGGAGGGTTTTGTCTCCTCACTCCATGGCGATGCTTCAGAACCTTTGCTTGTCCAACACTCCCTGACACCCCTACCCTCTGAGGCCAAAGCACCCACTTTACCCTTCTCTCGCCCCCCTCCTCCCCATCGTCTCCAGGCCCGAGACACTTGGCAACTGGCCTTCTGCTGCCTTGCTAAGTCCTGCCGTTCCCGGGGGGCTTCAATGCTCAGCAGACAGTCTATGCATCCAGAATCCCAGCAGGGCGCCCCCGGGAACGGTTTCGGTTGCTTGCAGCCCCTCTGCTGCGATCAGGACGCCCTCCTCAGAGGTCGGCAGCACACGGGTCGCGGTCTGTGGTAACCACATCAGGTGTCTCACGAATACCGTTAGCTGAGCCTGAGATCCTGACACGTTTTCCCATAAAGGAAGAGTTTAAGTTAAATTTTATTCATGTTAAGAATTAAATGGGGGTGGGGCGCCTGGGTGGCTTAGTCGGTTAAGCGTCAACTTTCGCTTAGGTCATGATCTCGCGGTTTGTGGGTTCGAGCCCCGCGTCGGGCTCTATGCTGACTGCCAGCTCAGAGCCTGGAGCCTGTTTCAGTCTGTGACTCCCTCTCTCTCTGACCCTCCCCTGCTCACGCTGTCTCTCTCTCTCTCTCTCTCCTAGAAATAAAGCATTAAAAAAAAAAAAAATTTAAAAAAAAAAAAAGAATTAAATGGGGGCGCCTGGGTGGCTCACTCGGTTAGGCACTCGACTCTTGATTTTTGGCTGAGGTCATGATCTCCCGGCCCGTGGGTTCGATCTCACAGCCCTCGAGCGCTGACAGTGCAGAGCCTGCTCGGGAGTCTCTCTTTCTCCCTCTCTCTCTGCCCCCCCCCCCAAATACATAAGCTTAAAAAAACAAGAATTAAATGAACTCATTTGGTAAATAATTTATCACAGTGTCTGGTGCAGAGTAGGTGTCCAATACATCAGAATTACTGTCATCAGTATTTTGTGTCATCAGCCACCAGTCCTTCCCAGGGCACAGGTATGCAGACATACAGACACACCCTCCTGGCAGACGAGAAGCACTGTATCCAGCCAGCTGTAGGGACATCACATTTCATCCCGATGGCTCCTGCTCTCTCTTTCCAGTGAAGGCTGCGTCTGGGGCTGCTGTGCTCTGAAGACTCTGAGTTTAGTGGACGTAAGGTCAGCGTGGAGAGCTTATTAAACGTGAACACTCCTCTCGAATCAGATCCCACTCTTAAGAGATCCTGACTTGGTAGCTCTGGGTGCCAGTAGCCTCAGGACCGCACTTGAGAACAGGGGTCACTCTGAACGACCAGCAGGCACTGGGCCTTTCCCCACTGCCACGGCTCTGTTTATACCAGTGGACCATTTACTAAGCAGGCACCTTTGCGAGGTGCTGTGCTAGGTACTTGTATACACTCTCTCGTTTAATCTGCCTGACTTGCCGCGCTGTATGCAATTATTGGGAAGAGTGATGGGAGAAGTGAGGCCTGGCAGAGGCCACACAAGTGACAAGCGAGGAGACGAGCTGGGAGCCCAGGAGGCCTGGATCCGGATCCCTCCCTGGTCCTCTCCATTTACGTTCTTTCTCAAATTCCACCTAGGCTTTTCCCATCTCCAGGTAAATGCTGAAGAATCGACGTGCCAAAGCCTAATCCTTTTTTCCCTCTCTTCTCAGGGAAGTCTGACTGATCACACCCAACGACAGCAATAACCCCTTGGGATTTTCTTTTTTCTTTTCTTTCCATTTTAACATCAGTCACACCACAGCTCCGGGGCTCTGCATCCAGGGCCACCTTCACGGCTGCCTGCACAGCCCCCCGCTTGTGTCCACCAAGGTAGGAGCTTGATGCCAACTGAGGACCCCCCAGATCTCAGCCCTGTGGTCCCCCACCCCGCCCCCACCCGCTCACCCCTGCGTCCAGGGTCTGAACTTACCTCGACGCTTCTCCTTTCAGAAAGAAAGCCTGCCCCCTACTTGTAACTTTCCTCAGTTTCTTGTATCCCTGTTTTGGCTCCAAAAGAAGCTGGAAAAAGAAAAAAAAAAAAGCTATTTTGGCCATACAGCATCCCTGGATGAAAAGAGCATGGATTCCTGACGTTGTTCTACTGTTTTGGTGCGGTGATTTTTTAAAATTTTATTTATGTATGTATGTATGTATGTTACTTGATCTCTACACCCCACATGGGGCTCAACCTCACAGCCCTGAGATCAGAAGTCACAAGCTCCTCCAACTGAGTCAGCCCTGCGCCTTGGTTTGTTTTGTTTTTAATCCGTGTTTCTCACCGGCTGTTTTGGAATCCCTGGTTCACTCGCTCACTTCGGTTCAGAGATCAGCATACGGTGTGGTTCCCGGAGTCAGTCTGTGAGTCCTCTGGAGTTTTGTAACTTTGTATTTGTTACCTGAATTAAAGCACACACACAAATCTCCCTGTACCAGAAATTACTGCTATCAAAACGCTTTTGAAAGTGTAATACGTCTTACTGAGGAATTATCCAGGAACTTCTCTCACAATCTTTCAAGATTACATTCAAACCAGGGTCTTTTGTGTGCTTACAATTTCCGAAGTCCCCAAATGCCCACGTATGTACTAAAACACCACCAAGTCTCTACGAAACAGACTAGTTACTGCAACAGTTAACGTTAATTACTGTCACAAAGAGACAGTGCCACTGTTCCCTTTATAAAGGAGTCTAAGATGTGACTGTTATTCTGTCAGCTTTTCTGCCAGGGCCACAGGCCGTACACTTAGAGCCACACTCGCAATGGGTTCCTCTATTAAATATATTACACAACAAAGCGCTACAACGTTTGTGTGATTAAAATTGTGATGTCAAAAATGAACATCAAAGACTGAGAATATTAATGCAAATAATGCTACTGATTCCCCATGTCATCTCCGCTCTCAGCCATGAGAGTGCTCTGAGATAGAGTCCCAACACAGCTAGGGAACCCCCCCCCCCACACCCGGATGGCCACATGGTGGGTCCCGCGTCCTGGTGCTGGGGCAGATGAAAATTCCCATCAGTCCTGGGTACATTCAAAGAAACACCTCAGAAGCTTAAGGAGGAGTGTTTATTCCCATAAACCGAATTCCTCGTAGTCCAAGCGGCTATATTTCTAACAGTAGATATTGAAGACCTGGAAGACTGATCTATAGGTAGAGACTCGCCTGTTTTGCAAATTTGGCGAGCCTACATAGTTTTAATATTGACTCTTGAGATGACCTGGTGCTCACCTTTATTCCAACCTTTTTTGGGCCCCCAAACCTTGCTAATGTGTCGCTTAGACATTAGGTCTGTTTTGGGTCACAGAAAACCGTTAAGTAAGTAGAGGTAAAAGTTTTTTAACTTCTCTTTCAGCTTTTTTCATATTTCGTCCTGCTAATATTTTTGTTCCCAGTGGACTTGACTTTACTAACAGTCACACATACTTAAAAACCCTTGTTTCTCCCCTAATCAGCCCGAAGCCCCCCGTTACAGACACTGGGGGGGTGGGGGAGTGGGGGGGTGTATATCCATCTTTGAGAACCATGGTCTCCGAAGTCGAAGGGCTTGTACCAACATGGTCGCATCTAGTCACACTGACTGGGCTATGCTGGACACTCCACTCAGGCTGAGCCAAATTCTCTCTTCTGGAAATTCAAGCCGGGAACCAAGAGACGGCTATGGAGCCGGCTACCAGGAAGCTCTGGGGGCCGAGTACAAAGAGAAGCAGAGAGAGCCGGTCAGCAAAGAGAGGAGAAGGAACCGGATGCATAGACAGGAGAGGAAAGAGAAAGCGAGAGATGAAGAGCCATGGAGAGAGATTGCGCAGGGCTCACCAGAACTTTCCAGCTCCTCATTCCTTTCTTCCTGAGGCCTGGTTGTTCGCATTAAGGGCTCATTCCGCGAGGTAACCCCAGATTCTTAACCACGTAGATTAGACTACGTTGCTAAAGCTGGTTTGAAGAGGGTTTCTAGTACAGTCAACCAAGAGTGACTTAAGGAAGATGCTCCCTTAGGGAATGTGTTTTGTGTTTCATATTTCCTTCATCACTAAGCTGAGGGGTACTGAGGCCTCCTGTAGGCATTCAACTCAGGAGACGCTTCTAGGCCCCATGGGCTGCTCTCTGCTGCGGGAGACAGCAGGTATAAGACCTCTCACATGACTGCTGCCTCTCTCCACCTTAGAAAAAATTTTTTAATGTTTATTTTTGAGAGAGAGAGACAGAATATGAATGGTGGAGGGGCGGAGAGAGGGAGACACAGACTCCGCAGCAGCCCCAGGCTCTGAGCCGTCAGCACAGAGCCCGACGCGGGGCTCGAACTTCTGAACAGCGAGATCACGACCTGAGCACAAGTCGGACGCTCAACCGACTGAGTCCCCAGGCGCCCCCGGGATCGGGATGAGATTTTTGACAGGAGTCTCGGTCGACAGTAGTTACACGTGCACTCCTCCCTGTATCATGCACCACGTGGCGCAGGGCCTCCGAAGTGATCTGTTTCGTGGCCTCAACAGAAGCAGACAGGGCGTTTCCTTCGCGCATCAACACGCCGGGACGCAAGGTAACCGCGCTGCCTGCGAGGTCCGGAAAGGTCTTGCCCGGCTCGCTCTCTCCGTCTCCCGCGGTCCACACAGCGCGCCCAGCAGGCCTGGGAGGTATCGGATGCGGATCCGGCGAGCCCGGGGAGGGGGCGGGGCGTCCCTGGCCACACCCCCTGCAGCCGAAGCCCCGCCCCCGGCGTTTTCTCCCCATTCTGTTTTCCGGTGCATCGTGACGTAAGACGTGGGTCACGCAACTTTGGCGACTGGTCCCGGAAGCAAAAATCGGAAAGGCGGAGGAGGCGGAAAGGAGGGCCTGCGTCGGGGTCGGCCGGCAGGGGGCGGGGCGGGGCGGGGCGGGGCGGGGCGGGGCGGGCATGGACGGCTCGGAAGCCGAGGGGGCTGGGCTGGACCCGGGCGTAGAGACCGGCGTCGGCTGCCGCAGCTGCAGCCGCTGCTCCGGCCTGTTCGGGGAGGTCCGCTCCGGCGCCACCTCGGCCATGATGATCCACGGCTTCCAGAGCAGCCACCAGGACTTCTCCTTCGGGCCCTGGAAGCTGACGGCGGCCAAAACGCACATCATGAAGTCGGCGGATGTGGAGAAGTGAGGCCCCGGGGCGCGGGGCGCGGGGCTGGGCCTGGGCGGGGGGCAGGGCGAGCGGCGTGCAGCCCCGACCTTCCCGGCGGCGGAGGCTCCGGCCCCGAGCACGGGACCTTCGAATGACACCGGGAGAGAACCCTGTCGCCCCTCACGCCCTGCGGTGGGGGTTCTCCGGGCGCTGCCTTCGTGCAGCTGTCACCCCGCTTGTCCCGGCGGACTTCGCCCGGCCGTGGGGCCCCGCCCGCCGCGCCTGCGGCCGTTTTCTCCTGGGTGGCCGCGGCCGGTTTCCTCGGGGTCGGTAGCGGGGACCACACGCGCGCGTGGCCTGAGAGCCCGTGAGACGCGTGCCGGGCGCTGGGGAGACGGACGACGGGCGAGCCTCTTCCCGGAATTCCCGGGCGTGGGGGACGCGGACGCGAGGTCACGGAGATCGCTCGCAGGGCCGAGGCGTCCGGAACTTCGGACGCGCGAGGGGACCTTGGTGACACCGGAGAGCTGGGGAGGGGGCCGGGCCTGGGGGGGCCGAGCCGGGAGGCGTCCGTGAGGCCCGCGGGGACCGGGCGCGGCGGGGCTTGGGGGCTGCCGGGGCGCACGTGGGAAGCTGGGGCCCGGGGGAGTGCGAGCCTGCGTTCGCGCCGGAACCGTTTCTGCGAGGCTGGAGCGGGAGGTGCCCGAGCGGGGGTCGTGGGGGGAGAGAGCGAGGCCAGGGGGGCGGGCGCACCCAGGGAGTTCGCGTGACAGGCCGAGGGGCTTGTGTTTTCCGTGACCACCGCCGGTGCCCTTTGGCACGAAGGGGTGGCCTTGGCAGACGCGCGATCGGAAGGGTTGCTCGGGCGTCGGGGGTGCAATGTGGAGGGTGGGCTGGAGTGGAGGGCTGCGGGACGGGTGCGCAGACCAGCGGGGAGGGGCGGTTTTAGGAGATTAGGCACCTGGGTGGCCAGGTGACAGGAGGAGGGAGGAGAAAGGAGACTGGTGACCAGATTTCTGGCTTGGGAACGAGAAGCTTTGCCGTTGAACAAGGTGAGAAGACAGGAGGAGAAACAGATGGAGGCGGTTGTTGGCTAGAGGATGAGCTCAGATTGTTTAGTTTAAAAAAAAAATTAATGTTTACTTATTTTTGAGAGAGAGAGGGAGACACAGAATCTGAAGCTGCTCCAGGCTCCGAGCTGTCAGCACAGAGCCCGACGCGGGGCTCGAACCCGGGAACCATGAGATTACGACCTGAGTTGAAGTCGGACGCTCAACCAGCTGAGCCACCCAGGCGCCCCAGAACTTGGATTGTTGAAATGTGACTTGCGCGGGGGTCAGGAAGTGGTAGGCATTTGTCTTGGAACTCAGAAAACATGACTGTCTGTGGGCTTAGATTTGGGAATTGTGAGCTTACAGTTGATACCTGGAGCCTTGGGAGTGAACTAAGATCTTGGAGAAGTCACCCAGAAGAAAAGGAAGAGGTTAGGGGATGGTACCCTAGGGAACCCTAGGGCAAAAAAGATTCGGGCGGAGGGAAGTCACCAGGGAAGAGAGTGCTGATAGGAGGTTTAGCCGTGTAAATTCACGACAGATTATTTTATGTACATAACCGGAGTATTTTGTAAGACTACCAGATTTTTCCAGGTGTATTGGGGAAAAATCAGAGAATCACATGTTATTTCATGGGCATTATTCAGTTATGTAATTAAAATTTAATTGAATGGTTTTTTTAATGGAATATTTGTTTTAATATGTCCAATCTTCATCTTATTTAATCTTTGAAGTATTTAATAGTTTCTTTTTAAAAATCTTGATTTACGGGCACCTGGGTGGCTTTGTCAGACTTGGGCTCAGGTCACGATCTCAAGGTTATGAGTTCGAGCCCCGCATGCATGCACTCTCTGCTGTCAGTGCAGAGCTTGGTTCGGGTCCTCTGTCCCCCCTTCTCTCTGCCCTTCCCCGTGCACCCTCCCTGTCTCTCTCTCAACAATGAATAAACACTAAACAAAATTTTTTTTTAATTTTGCCTTATTGTTGTAGAAACACTTAGCATGAGATCTATGTTCTTAACAAAAAATTTTTTTTCTTGGATGTATGTGTGTATATGTATAACTATACCATTCATCTTTCGATGGATACTTAGATGCTTTCATATCTTGGCTATTGTAAATAATGCGGTGAACATTGGAGTACATCTATCATTTCAAATTTGTTTTTTTGTTTTGTTCAAATAAATACCTAGAATTGCTGGATTGTATGGTAGTTCTATTTTTAATTTTTTGAGGAGCCTCCATATTCTTTTCCATAGTGGCTGCACCATTTTGTATTCCCATCAACAGTATATGAGAGTTCCTTTTTCTCCACGGCCTCGCCAACACTTGTTATTTCTTGTCTTTTTAATTTTAGTCATTCTGATGTGTGGATATCTCATTAGGGTTTTGATTTGCATTTCCCTGATAATTAGTTATGTTAACATATTTTCATGTGTCTGTATGTCGTCTTTGGAGAAATGTCTATTCGGCTGCTCTACCCATTCATTTTTATTTTTTAGCTGTTCTGCCGATTTTTAATTAGATTATTTGGGGTTTTTTTTTTATAGTGAGTGTGTGAGTTCTTTATATATTTGGATATGAATCCCTTATTGATTATTTCATTTGCAAATATCTTTTCCCATTCGATAGATTGGCTTTTCATTTCGTTGATGGTTTCCTTAGCTCTGCAAAAGCTTTTTAGTTTTAGGGAGTCGCATTCATGTATTGTTTTTTGTTGCCCTTGCTTGAGGAGACAGATCCAAAAAATATTGATAAGACTGAGGCCAAGGAGGTTATTGCCCAATATTTTCTTCTAGGAATTTTAAAGTTTCTGGTCTCGCAGTTGACTTAAGCCTTTAATCTATTTTGAATTTATTTTTGTATGTGGTGTAAGACAGTGGTTCAGTTTCATTCTTTTCCTTTTTATTTATTTATTTATATTTTAGAGAGAGAGTGCATGTGCGCACGAGTTGGGGAGAGTGAGAGAGATTGAGAATCTCAAGCAAGCTCCATGCTCGGTGTATGGAGCCCAACACGGGGCTGGATTCTGGGACCCCGGGATCATGACCTAAGCCAAAATCAAGAGTCAGACAGTCAATCAGCTGAACCACCCAGGCACCCCACAGTTTCACTCTTTTTCATGTAATTTTCCAGTTTTTCCTATATCACTTATTGAAGAGACTATTTTTTCCTCTTTGTATATTCTTGCCTCCTTTGTTGAAGATTAATTGACCATATAAGTGTGGGCTTATTTCTGAACTCTCTATTCTATTCCATTGATCAGTGTGTCTGTTTTTGAGCCAGCACCATACTGTTTTGATTACTATGGCTTTGTTGAAATCAGGGAGCATCATACCTCTAGCTTTGTTCTTTCTCAAGATTGCTTTGGCTAGTCAGGATCTTTTGTAGTTCCCCTCTTTACACGTTTTTCAGTGTAGAATGCTTTGTTTTTTAACTATAGGGACAGTGTCGTACAGCAGATCTCTAACGCTTATTCATGTCGCTTGACTGAACATTTATGACTGTCGATTAGTAACTTGTTTTCCCCAACCTTTGGTAACCACCATTCCACTTTTTAATTCTATACATTTGACTATTTTAGATACATCCTTTAAGTAGAATCATGTAGTGTTTGTCTTTCTGTGACTGGTTTATTTTACTCAGCATAAGGCCCTTAAGGCTCATCCATGTTGTGGCATATCACAGGATTTCCTTCTGTTTTTAAGATTGCATTGTATTCCGTTGCATGGATAAACCATGTTTTCTTTATCCATACGTCTGTGGGTGGACATTAGGTGGGTTTCCACATCTGGGCTATTGTGAATAGTGCTGCCATGAACATAGCAGTGTTAATCACTCTAGTACTTAATATTTTCTATTTTCTTTTTTTTTTTTTTTAAGTACGCTTCACGCCCCACGCAAAGCCCAATGTGGGGACTTGAACTCACGGCCCTGAGATCAAGGCCTGAGCTGGGATCAAGAGTCAGACCCTTGGGGGAGCCAGAGTGGCTCAGTTGGTTAAGCCACCGACTTTGGTTCATGATCTCATGGTTTGAGGGTTCAAGCCCTAGATCCGGCTCTGTGCTGACAGCTCAGAGCCTGGAGCCTGCTTCAGATTCTGTGTCTCCCTCTCTCTCTGCCCCTCCCCTGCTCATCCTCTGTCTCTCCTTCAAAAAGAAATAAACAGTAGGGACGCCTGGGTGGCCTAGTCGGTTAAGCGTCCGACTTTCGCTTAGGTCACGATCTCGCGGTTCGTGGGTTCGAGCCCCGCGTCGGGCTCTGTGCTGACTGCCAGCTCAGAGCCTGGAGCCTGTTTCGGAGTCTGTATCTCCCTCTCTCTCTGATCCTCCCCTGCTCACGCTGTCTCTCTCTCTCTCTCTCCTAGAAATAAATAAATATTTTTTTTAAAAAAAAAAGAAACATTAAAAATAATAATGAAAATAAATTAAAAAATCTTTAAAAAGAGACACTTGGGATGGCGGGGTGTCTCAGTCAGTTGAGTATCAGATTTTGGCTCAGGTCATGATCTCACGGTTTGTGGGTTCAAGCTCCAAATTGGGCTCTTTGTGCCAACAGCCTGCTCAGAGCCTGGCGCCTGCTTCAGATTGTACGTCTCCTCTCTCTGTCCCTACCCCTTGCTCTCTCTCAGAAATAAATATTTTTAAAAATTAAAAGAAAAAAAAGAGTTGGACGCTTAACCAACTGAACCACTCAGGTACCCCAATATTTTCTATTTCCTAATAATTAAAAATAAATTTTACTTAAATTTATGATGAAAAAGTAACACTGTTAGATACCTTAAAGATGTGCAGCTTAATATGTTAGATCACTGATACGTGCACACATACATAGACACACAGATGTAATAAATATATGTGTCCATTTTTAATTACTATTGTATCCAACATTTTTTTACTTTATTTTATTTTCTCGTTAACGTTTTTAATGATTCTATAATACTTCATTCATCATATAGATAGACTGTAGTTTATATTACTGCTTATTTCCTTATAGTCAGACATTCCCAGTATTTCTCTTTTACTATTATAAATAAGATGATTATGAGTATTAACGTGTATAGCTCTTCACTGCATTGGAGATTATTTTTTTTATTACAGATTTCCCATTGCTGCTATTTTGAGTCAGGATATAGATTTGATGCAAAGTTCTTGGTACGTTTTCCCTGATTGGTGCCCCAGGGGATAGACGGTAGATTTACGCAGTCATTCCAGAATCTACGTGAGCGAGTGCTGGTTTCCCTCATCAGCGTTGGTGCTTTTGCCTTCTGCGTTACTGCCTTTTAAAGCTGGTGACAAATTGAGAATTTTTCTGGAAAAGTTGTTTTCCTACAAGAAACAGGATCTTTAATTGCTATCTTTTCTTCATACCTATAATTAATATAATTGTGTTATATATGTGGCACAACGAAAAGTCTACCAGGAACATGAAGCTTATGGAGACTTGAGCCTGTGGTACATTAGGTCATCTCCTAGGCAGTCAGTAGAATTAGACCCCATGTTCTTTTTTTTTTTTTTTTTACAAATAGTTTATTGTCAAGTTGGTTTCCCTATAACACCCAGTGCTCATCCCCACAAGTGCCCCTCTCCGTGCCCATGTCCCCCCTCCCCCCCCACCCATCAGTCCTCAGTTCTCAGCATTCAAGAGTCTCTAATGGTTTGCCTCTCTCTCCCTCCCCCACTATTTCCCCCCTTCTTCTCCCCCATGGTCCTCCGTTAAGTTCTTCCTAATCCTCCTATACGTGCAAACACATGGTATCTGTCCTTCTCTGCTTGACTTATTTCGCTCAGCATAACACCCTCAAGGTCCATCCATGGTGCTACTCATGGCCAGATTTCATTCTTTCTCATTGCCATGTAGTATTCCATCGTATAGATAAACCACATCTTCTTGATCCATTCGTCCATTGATGGACACATAGGCTCTTTCCGTGTTTTGGCTATTGTTGAGAGTGCTGCTATGAACATTGGAACCCATATTTATTCTTGAAAGTGGTGGGCCTTTGATGATCCAGGAATGAAATAGATGTTTCTAGCAGGAATCAGTATCTTTTTCCATTGTTCACTTTGTTCATGTAGAGTTTTTTGCTTGTTTCTTTTTAATACGTATGCAAGATTTGACTGGTGTGTCTGATTGGAAATAAATCTAAAGCAATTAGGTGGCGCCTGGGTCGTTCAGTCAGTTGAGCGTCCGACTTCGGCTCAGGTCATGATCTCACGGTTCGTGGGTTCAAGCCCCGCGTCGAGCTCTGTGCTGACAGCTTGCTCAGAGCCTGGAGCCTGTCTTTGGATTCTGTGTCTCCTTCTCACTCTGTCCCTACCCCATTCGCACTCTGTCTCACTCTGACTCTCAAAAATAAATAAATGTAAAAAATAATACAATACAGTAAATAAAGCAATTAGAAAGAGGGTGATTGTGGTCTTAGGATATGGATGATCCTTTGTTGGCTTTATGTAAGAATATATTCTTTAATATAGTATCATCTTACCTTACCTAACAATAATAGCTGTATAGCTATTCAAAAGTCCAGAAGTCTTGGGGCGCCTGGGTGGCTCAGTTGGTTAAGCGGCCAACTTCAGCTCAGGTCCAATCTCAGGGTTCATGAGTTTGAGCCCCGTGTCAGATACTCTACTGTCATCATGGAGCCCTCTGCTTTGGATCCTCCGTCTCCCTCTCTCTCTGCCTCTCCCCTGCACATGCTCACTCTCCCAAAAATAAATAAACATTTTTTTAAAAATACAGAAGTCTTAAAAAAAAAAAAAAAGAAAGAAAGAAAATTGAAAAGAAAGCCTTCCGATCTGCTAAAGTGGCTGTCATAGGCCACTTGCACTAAAGCCCTGTGCCTTCTTTGGGGTCCCTTAGAACTTCACTCAAGGCACGTTTAAATTTTTGCCTCTGTGGCACACTTTATAATTATAAACATTGGAAATATCACCTGATTTTTGGTTATGCATAGGTTAGCCGATGAATTACATATGCCATCTCTCCCTGAGATGATGTTTGGAGACAACGTTTTAAGAATCCAGCATGGCTCTGGCTTTGGGATTGAGTTCAATGCTACGGATGCATTAAGATGTGTAAACAACTATCAAGGAATGCTTAAAGTAGCCTGTGCTGAAGAGTGGCAGGAAAGCAGGTAAGAATCTCGACTTTTATGGGTTAAATGAAAAAGAAGAGTTAAAAGAAATCTTCTGTCATGATTTGCGTATTTTATTAGAGTGAAAGGCAAGTATTGTTATTAACTTAATAGTTGGATCATTCTAGAATTCATTTTCCCATCCATAAAATAGAGATTAGTTACGTTACCTTTTAAATACTTGTTGAGTTCAGTTGAATTACAGTTGAGTTGAGCTATGTAAGGTTTACAGTTTTGAGCTCTCAGTGTTCTTTAGTGAAGAGGCAATATGCTGTATACTTCAGTGTTCCTGTTTTTGAAGAAAAATGTTTACTGATACGAATTGTAAATGTGAGGAGCATTGAAATAGAGAAAAATGTGTTTTCTTTGATAATCAAATCAGCAATTATTTACTTTGTGCCTATCCTATATACTAGGTACCTTGCAGGACGCAAAGAAGTATAATACGCCTTTAAACCATGTCCTCAAGCAATATACTAACTGATTGGAGAGGCTACCTCAGCATATGACAAGTTTAGTAACAATAAATATACAGACAGACCCAGAAGGTTCTTGTGTTAGTGAATTATGACAAGCATATGTATTTCGTAGGATGTTTGTATTATTTGTAGAATGTGACTTGGTGTGACATCTGAATACAGGCGATCTGTGTTCTGCATCACTGAATCTGACCCTTCTCATTTTGATATCGAGGACGGAGGGTGAGCACTCCAAGGAGGTTATTAAGCCGTACGACTGGACGTACACAACAGATTATAAGGGAACGTTACTTGGAGAATCACTTAAGTTAAAGGTAAATCCTTATTTATGCTTTAATGATAAAGTCATTAATTGTCTTGGAGAGTCTCAGCTTTAGAACTTTCTAGTAATGGCTTGTTTTTGCTACCACTTTCATCTTACTTATTTTCTCTCTTTTTTAAAATTTTTATTTAATTTGTGTTTTTTTTTTATTTCCACCCAAGTTAGCATATAGTGTGACAGTGACTTCAGGAGTAGATTCCTTAATGCCCCTCACCCATGTAGCCCCTCCCCCCCACATCCCCTCTCGTGACCCTGTTTGTTCTCCGTATTTAAGAGTCTCTTATGTTTTGTCTCCCTCCCTGTTTTTGTATTATTTTTGCTTCTCTTCCCTTATGTTCATCTGTTTTGTGTCTTAAAGTCCTCGTATGAGTGACGTCATACGGTATTTGTCTTTCTCTGACTGACTGATATCACTTAGATAATCCCCTCTAGTTCCATCCACGTGGTTGCAGATGGCAGGATTTCATTCTGTTTGATTGCTGAGTAATACTCCAGTGTGTGTGTGTGTGTGAGCGCGTGTGTGTGTGCGCGCGCGCGCGTGCACGCGCACACACATCACATCTTCTTTATCCATTCATCCATCGATGGACGTTTGGGCTCTTTCCATACTTTGGGTGTTGTTGATAGCGCTGCTATAAACATTACATCCCACTTATTTTCTAGTGAGGGAAGCTTCAGAACCTAATGTGAAGGGATTTTGCTAATTGATTATAAGCGGAAACTAAGAAGTCCATAGTGGAACAATTTTTATTCTCAAAGGTATAATTAAAAGCAGTGGCAAACTGCCTTGATGTTATCATTATCACTATCAAGAAGCATGCAAGGGGCGCCTGGGTGGCTCAGTGGGGTAAGCATCCAACTTCCGCTCAGATCATGATCTCGGTCTGTGGGTTTCAGTCTCACGTTGGGCTCTATGCTGACAGCTCAGAGCGTGGAGCAGCTTCAGATTCTGTATCTCCTTCTCTGCCCCTTCCCCACTCACACTCTGTCTCTCTCTCTCTCTCTCTCTCAAAAAAAAAGAAAAAATTTAAAAAAGCATTCAAATGTATATCTGTTCTTGGTGTGATTAATTAGGTGATTTAGACAGAGCCTGCTAGTTCATAGCTTACAGTTTTCTGGATGAACTGGTAGATGGGCAGATAGGACCTTTGTTCATACCGCTTATGTTTTTGTCCTGCCTATACTGTGTGTGACCCTTGTATGACTCTAAGCAAGATACTTAATGTCAGTCTCAATTTATTAGTTAACGGGTAAACAGGCATATTTACCTCACATCAGAGTTTTGATAGGAGATAATCTGTGGGAAAGTTCTCGGTGAATTCTAAAGCTCCGTATTAATAATGTGAAGTTGAATCTGTGTGAGCCCTACTTGGGAAGAGATTCGCTTCACGGTGAATGCTGCTGGCAAGGTGGATTTGGTAGGTCTCGTGTTGGGAGCTTAGCCACATTCCGACAGAATGACTGAAATGAAGAAAGTTTGGCTTAGGTTGTATGTCTCTAATGGGCAGAGATGTATTATGGAGAACAAAATTATTTTACTGTAAATGAAGTAATTATATTGAAGACCCTGTATCGTGTGTTGGTGCTTAGGCAGAAATGTTAAGAGAGGAGTTGTGTATGGGCTCCTTGTCTCTGCAGAGATTTTTAGTCTCAGGAAGACAGAAGTTCATAGCAGGAATGCGGTTCTCCTCAGTTTCTGCCGCTCTTATAATCCAAGCGTCACCTATTTTTCTCTGCTGCTTCCAAGACAGATACATAACAGTTTTTGAGAGAATATGTGTTCATTCATTCAATCAGTCAGTCAGTCAGTCACTCACTTACTCACTCACTCACTCACTCCATTCATTCATTCATTCATTCATTCATTCATTCTTGAGCTCTTCTCTGTGCCGGCACTGATCCTAGGAACCGTGGATACAGCAGAGAACAGACAAAATCCCTCCTTTACAGCCTGTGGAGAACAAGGTCATGTCAGCCCCTTCATACTTCACAGATGAACGTTCTCCTATCTTCTCGCTCCTGACTGAAAAACTTTGTAAAGAACATAGTCCGTTTGATATTTGATTGCCAGGAGTGAGGAAATGGGAGCTTGTGTTAACCCTGTGCAGGGTGGTGACCTATAAAAAGCCTCCTCTAGGTTAGGAAGTAGATCAGCTGTGACTGAGGACCTCGAACCACAGCCGTAGAAATGGGAATCTGAGGGTAGTGGGAGGTGAGAAGCGTGTGTTCAGGACTCTCACTGACACTTCTGCCTGTAATGTAATTTGTTCTGCGGTGGTGTTGACAAATATCGGTGTGATCACCTACTTGCCGGAATTCAGGCTTTGGCAGGCCTGGGTTCAAATCCCAGCACGAGCACTCAACTTGGAAGAGCAATTTAATCTTGCTCCACGTGGTTTCTCACTCACTGTTAAACTGGGTAATAGCAGTTGTAGGGAGTAAATAAGATTACATATGTAAAGTGTTTAGCACAGTGTCTGTTACACAGCAAGACCTCAATAAATGGTAGCTGCTATTATTAATAACATCTCAAATGTCAGGGGAACTAAACTATTAGTATTGAAATACCAAGACTAGAAGTAGATAGATTGTCTAAATATTTATTCTTGCTTTATGATCTAAACAGAGTTGATGAGTATGTTCCTTTACTGCCTTAAAAAATTGAGCATCTGTTTTCCAGGCAAAATTGTTAGAACTTTGTTGTTTAATCTTCAAAATAACCTTGTAGGATAGGCATTCTTATCCTCGTTTTGTGGATGAAGAAGAAGGTTCAAGATCTTAAAATATGTGTCTCTTAATAACACAGTACCAATGCTGTAGCTTATATGTGGAAGATCACTCCATGGGAACATTTTTGCATTTGACTTTCTTAATACCTAAGGATTTTTTTTGACCTATAATATTACTTGGAATCTTAAATTAGTTAATTCTTCCACCCTCTCTAAAATCCAGAGCCTGGTGTGTATAGGAAGTATATGCCTGTGTAGGGGAATATATCTTACGGGAACAGTAAGAATGTCAGAACGAGGCATTAGAATGAAGCCTTTCCTTTGCCCTTAAAATTCTTGCCTTATAATTACTGGGAGCTGCTGCTATAGTGTGTGTGTGTGTGTGTGTGTGTGTGTGTGTGTGTGTGTGGTGTTTTCTCACTCTTTTTGAGTTGTCTCACCTCTTACTCAGGAGTGGGAGCATAGTTTAAGAGAAGAGAGCCAGTCTTAGGGTCGTACCGGCCGGATTCAAATCCAGCCTTGCTGTGTACTGGCCGGGCCACCTTGGGGACATCTCAGAGATTATGGTATGAGAGTGTTAGGAGGTCAGATTACCTAACCTGACCTGGCAGAATGTGGCCATTTTCTTCCTTCCAGGTAAATAAGTAAACCGACTCTGTAGGAGACTGTCTCTTCCACTTGTGTTGCTTTTTTGGAAGAAAATGTGTGTGGTGTCCACGCATTTAAAACAGCATTTTTTGGGACATTTGCCACCTCTTTCAGTGTGATTTAATATTTTGAACTTTTTTTTATTATTGTGGTAAAATGCATACAACAAAATTTACCATCTTAACTTCTAAATATATTACATTAGCGGTAAGTATATTCATGTTGTTGTGCAACCAGTTTCCAGAACTTTTTCATTTTGAAAAACTGACACTTGGTGCCTTTTTTTTCTTTTCTTGGGTGCAAAATGGTGATTTTATTAAAGCACCACAGGGAGCAGAAAGAGCTGCCAGTACTCAGTACCTTTTAAACAATAACTCCTCCTGGGGCACCTGGGTGACTCAGTCGGTTAAGTGTCCGACTGTCCATCTAGGCTCAGGTCACGATCTCATGGTTTGGGGGTTTGAGCCCTGTGTTGGGCTTTGTGCTGGAGGCGTGGAGCCTGCTTGGGATTCTCTCTCCCCGTCTCTCTGCCCCTTCCCTGCTCGTGTGCATGCCCTCTCTTCTTCTCTCTCTTTCTGTCATCAAAACTAAGTTAAAGTTTAAAAAAAAAATTTTTTCTCGTCCTTATTATATATATGTATGTATGTAAAATGGTAGTTATCTTAATATGTGTATATACGTATGCACTGCTTTCAGTAATTTTTAAAAAGGAAATTTAACATAGGGTTCTTAGCATTTAGCATTAGTTAACTTTATATGGTAAATTTAAAAATATTTCTAAGTCAAGTAATTTCCTTATCATGAACCTCCATCTGATGTGAGGGTTATCCTATCCCATCTTCTTTGAAAGGTGTGACTAGGACTCAGTTTTCTTGTAAGGTATCCACAATGGTTGTAGCATTCCATATATATTTTTAAGCCTTTTAACAGTTGTGAAATATCTCAGAAAACATGAAGTTACAGTTTAATGAATTATGAAATGCAGCCGCCCAGGAAAAGAAATGGAACATTGCCAGCACCCTCCGGCAGGACCCTTCCTGATTACAATTCTTTTTTTTTTTTTTTAATGTTTTATTTATTTATGAGACAGAGAGACAGCGTGAGCAGGGGAGGGTCAGAGAGAGAGGGAGACACAGAATCCGAAGCAGGCTCCAAGCTCTGAGCTGGCTGTCAGCACAGAGCCCGACGTGAGGCTCAAACCCACGAACCGCGAGATCATGACCTGAGCCGAAGTCAGACACTCAACCGACTGAGCCACCCAGGCGCCCCTACAATTCTTTTTAAAAAATATTTCCTAGTAGATTGTGACATTGTCGGCCTTAGCTTTTATTTCCTTGAAACTAGCCTGCATTGTTGTTGTACTGAGTGGGCCGCATTTCCAATATCTGGGGTCCCTTGGGTCTCGTATCATCCTGTTCTTTCTGTTGGTTCTGGTTTTTGGCGTCTAGGCTCCTGAAGGGCCTCCTCAGTTCTGTTTGAGTCCCGGGACGAAAGTGGTTTTCCGCAGAAGAGATTTGTGTCATCTCTGACAGCCACCTGAGGGTACTCCTAGGGACAGAGCTGTGCACACTTTCTGTGAGGCTTTGAGGGCTGTGGGGTGTATGAGCAGCTGGTGGGCTGTGTGTTGAAGTTGAACACAGCGCTGGATGAGCAGTCTACAAATGGGCAGGGCTTTGCGAATGTAAAAATGATTCTTGGCTCCCAGTTCATGCAAAAATAGGTGATGGGCCACACCTGGCCTCCAGCTCTTGATTTGCTGACCTCTGGTGTGGGAGCGATGTGGGAGGTGTCCGGCCCTGTAACAGAAGCGGTGTCACCAGTGTAGCGCGAGAGGGTCCATTCCCACCTCGGGAGGGGCGCACACAATTCTCCGAGGTCCCTGCCCGAAGCGAGCACTGAGCAGTGGTGGGCCCGGGAACTAGCGGAGTCCCGGCTGCCCCTTGGACTGGCCATTACAGATGCGTCAAGGCCAAAGCCAGCCAACTACAGGCTCGCTTTCACTTTTTCTGGGTTCCAGTCCTCTGTCACATGTCAGCCCGGGAATTCTTCAGCATCTTGACCATTTGATGCTTTTCAGAAATTTGTGTTTCTTCATCCAGCTTTTACGTGGTCTTCAGCAAGAGGGTTTGTCTGGGTTACTCATTCTGACAACACTGGGAGTCAGAAGTGTTTGACGTGGTTTAAATTCAGCTGCTGGTTTGTGTTTCTCCCCCTTTCTTTTCAGGTGCCTGAGTTCAGCGAGAACATAAAAAGAGTTAAGAAAGAGAAAAGAGAAAGAGAAGATGTAATTTAAATACATTTGTCTTTGCAAATGAAGAAGAGAGTATAGATAAATATAGTCAGTATCCCTAAACCATGTTTTATCTAATTATTTTCTCTTTCTCGTCCAAGTATTTTATATGACCGAGTAAATGGCAAAACTAATGGCTTCATTTTCACTGGTTACTTATGAAACATCAGTGAGGTACTCAGTTACTAATGAGAAAATTGGTATAATGATTGCTTAGTTTTTTTAAGTCAGATGTTTCTGTAAGGAGGATCTTACACATTTGTTCCTTGGAACGAAAGCTAAATTGAAGGCACGTGAGCGGTCCAGTCAGTTAAGCGTCCCAACTTCGGCTCAGGTCATGATATCGCAGTTTGTGGGTTCGAGCCCCACATCAGAGTCTGTGCTGACAGCTCAGAGCCTGGAGCCTGTTTCATATCCTGTACCTCCCATTCTCTCTCCGCCCCTGCCCCACTTGGGCTCTATCTCAAAAATAAACACTAAAAATAAATAAAATAAAGCTAAATAGAAAGAAAGGAATTTAGAAGTTGTGTTTATTTAATACGAGCTAAAGCTTTATGCTCTTAGGCAGTCCTAGAAGTACAGCTTTTGTCGTAAGCAGAATACAAACACGTAAGTGACACACAGGGCCACCTACGCACAGCCCTTTCGCTGCCCCTCACCTCCCTTCCCGCTCCCAGTTCTCACCTTCGTACATGGTCTCAGGTCTGCTCCAGACACGTTTTGGAATAAAACTGCCGAGGGCCAAAGTGTTATCTGTGAGCGAACATGGAAGAACTGTGGACGTTTTTGCACCTCCTGGGACTCCTGTTCACGCTGCCAGCTTTCTTTTCTTCATAATCTTTTCCCCCCACATCGCAGGATACTCCCTCAGACTATCCCCTCCCCCCAAATCCAATCTCTTGAACGTCCTTTATCATATATCTTCTAATTCTTGTCCGGTTTCCTCAGACTACTCTCCATTTCATAATTCTATCCGTGAGTCCAACAAATTACCTGATCGTGGCTACTGAATAAAGTAGAATAATAGCTACCATTTATTGAGCACCTGTGGTTGACCAGCGTTGTGTTTATTTATGATACAGCTATGTCAAGGAATAGAAAAGCTCAACATTTGTAGTGAAATTGGACGGAGTAAAGAATGGTGGCTCAGAGCACGCTCTACAGCTGTTAGAAACCCTGGGTTTAGCGAGCTGCTGATAGGACCCACCTTATTAGCGTTGGTGATTCCCCTGTCGGGTGGTGAATAGGTGTGTCTGTGAGCTCCAGAATAACACAGTGCACAACTGGCCAGCATCCTCGGAAGCCCCAAATGCCAGGAGTTTTTCCCTCGGAATTTCTCTGAAAGTTCTTACTTTGCCTCGTTATTGAAAACACGGTTTTGTAGGCTTGGGGGAGCGAGGCTGGGAATATAAAATACATAACAAAATTCTCATGGGAATCGTTTTTAAGTTCCAAACCAATGTTCTTTAAAAGTAGGCTTTCACCTGCTGATGCATAGGAGCACATGTACCCCCAATGTTCATAGCAGCACTCTCAACAATAGCCAAAGCATGGAAAGAGCCTAAGTGTCCATCAACGGACGAATGGATCAAGAAGATGTGGTTTATCTATAAAATGGAATACTACATGGCAATGAGAAAAAATGAAATCTAGCCATGAGTAGCAACATGGATAGAACTAGAGGGTGTTATGCTGAGCGAAATAAGTCAGGCAGAGAAGGACAGATATCATATGTTTGCACGTATAGGAGGATTAGGAGGAACTTAACGGGGGACCATGGGGGAGAAGAAGGGGGCAAATGGTGGGGGAAAGGGAGAGAGGCAAACCATGAGAGACTCTTGAATGCTGACAAAAACTGAGGACTGATGGATGTGGGGGGGAGGGAGGGATGGGCATGGAGGAGGGCACTTGTGGGGATGCGCACTGGGTGTTATGTGGAAACTAATTTGACAATAAACTATTTGTAAAAAAAAAAAAAAAAAAAAGTAGGCTTTCACCATTTGAACCTGCTTTGGATGTCACCCACTGGTTTTCAGAGGATTGATTTCCTCATCATCACAACAGAATACTGGATTCTGATTTGGGGACTTACGTGAAAGCTGATGAATTTTGGCCCTGTGTTCTGCGAAGCTGTAGCATCAGCCTCCTGTCGTGTCGTCAGGGTTTCGGGGACCGGGTACATCATCTCAACTTCTGTGTCTACTGACAGCGTTCAGGCGTGGAGTTGTGAGCTCTGGCCATGCAGAAAAGACCGAGAGGAAGACTGTTTTCCCGAGCCTCCAGCTCTTTCCGTTTTGATGTGCCTCCTTCAATTTTTCCTTGCAGGTGGTGCCTACAACAGATCATATAGATACGGAGAAACTGAAAGCCAGAGAACAGATTAAGTTTTTTGAAGAAGTTCTCCTGTTTGAGGATGAACTTCACGATCATGGAGTTTCAAGCCTGAGTGTGAAAATTGTGAGTATTAGAAAATTAACTTCTTTCTTCAGGGGCACCTGGGTGGCTCGGTTGGTTGAGCGTCCAAGTCTTGATTTCAGCTTAGGCCACAATCCCAGGGTCTTGGGATCGAGCCCCACATTGGGCTCCCTGCTGAGCCTGGAGCTGGCTTGAGATTCTCCCTTTGTCTCCCTCTGCCCTCCCCACCCCAAGTGCACACTTTCTCTCTCTCAAGTAAAATAATAATAATAAGTTAAATTAAATTAACTACTTTCTTCCATTCTTAATCATTGATCACAAATATAAAACTCACTAGAATCCCACTGTCTTAACATGATATCATGGAAAGTATCACGCAGGTCCATTATAAAGTTCACAAAATCTTAGTATATTCCTAAGACTTCAGTAGAACATTTTCTTTCAAGAGCTGCCTGGCTGCTTTGTAGTTTTTTTGTTTTTGTAATTTGAATGAAAACTGTGGCTTAGTTTTCACATTTGAATTAAAAATTATATTGAAGGGATCCGCAGACAGCACCTGGAGGGGTCAGGGTCTCAGTGCACCGGAGACTGCACTTCCGTCGTCAGCCCAGGAGTGGGAAGCAGGAACGGCAGGTGTAAAGCCCCCTTCTCCGTTCGTGTTCTCTTCTCTCGTGGGGGACAAGTTACTTCCGTTTGCAGTGGTTTCGGTGGAACATGTTTAAGAAGGATTATAAGTAGCTCATTAGCATCGACTCAGACGTGTTTACTATTCGGTCAGAATTGGGTTTCTAACGCTTTCAGCACACCTTCAACTGAAACTTTGTGTTACGTGCCTTATCCCTTAAGGCCCAGGGAAAATGTCACCTCCTCTGTAAGATGCACCACAGCCCCCCTGGGCAGAGTTCAGTATTCCTCTTCTAGACCCCCATGAGCACTTTTTCTTAACCCCTCAAGTACAGAACTTATTATAAGATCTGTCAAAGACAGGACCCTACATCAGAAATAGCTCTTGGATGGGGCACCTGGGAGGCTCAGTCGGGTAAGTGTCCGACTTCGGCTCAGGTCATGATCTCACGGTTCGTGGGTTCAAGCCCTGCGTCGGGCTCTGTGCTGACAGCTCAGAGCCTGGAGCCTGCTTAGACTCTGTCTCTGTCTCTCTCTCTCTGCCACTCTCCTGCTCATTCTCTCTCTCTATCTCTCTCTCTCTCTCTCTCAAAAATAAATAAGCATTAAAAAACAAATTTAAAAACAGCTCTTGGAGCATGATTGTCAGTGTTGTGTTGAAATAATAGAGGATAAAAACAATGAGACAGCAACATATTTTAAAGTCAAGTTTTTCTTTACAATCATAGGATGTTGGAATTGTAATGAATTAGTAGAGAATCATTTAGTCTAGCTTCTGTATTTTATGGACAAGGCCCAAAAGGTTCATTTCCCTAAGGTCATGAAACTAATCAGTGACAAAGCTTCCTCTGTGCGGCCTCGTCTACATCATTATTCGAGCATTAGATCGTTGTTTTTTTGGTACCTCACTCCCTTGTTCACCTATAACTCTCCCCCAACTTACCTTTTGTCGTTTAGATTTGTTCACTCATCCGGTCCTGGGCCTTTCCCCTTGCCTACCCACCTCCTGTGACTAATGGACTCTGCGAATGTTCCTTATGAGTTTGTGTATCTGGGGCTGCATTTGTATCTAAGTAGGTGGCTCCGCCTGGGTCTGTACAAGTGGGCAGCTGTGTGGGGAGCACACGTGTTTTGTGGATGAAGGAGTTGGTGAGGGCGGGCAGAAATGTGTTACGCGTGAGCCCGAGTAAATGGCACTGGGTCTTCTACCGAAGAGCATGTTAGCTCATCTTAGCATGTTCTTTCGTTTACCTCATGTTACTTTTAAAAGTTATGTGTGATAGGGGTGCATTTTACGGATGCCTGCAAGAATGTCAATAGAGTAGCGTTCTTCTGGGTTGGTTTCTAACAGTGTAACAACACATGTTCCCATGAACGAATGCTGTCGTTCTGCGTTCTTGGCAGTGCAGTATGGATGAATGAAGTTCCTTCTCTAAGCAAAGACTAGCCTGGTGGATATAAATGTAGGTGAGAAGCCAGGAACGTGTGCCTGGGAAGTAGAACTTTTCAAGAAGAAGGGCACAAAGGTCAGTGTCATGCCGTGAGGACATCTTAGAATGGGATGGTGTCCACCAGACTGAAACACTGACTGGTTTTAGCACGTAAGATCTTGTTATTCACCTTTGCAAGTGCAGTTTAAGTTACGTGGGTGGGAGGCAAGCGAAAGATGTGAAGGTGGAGACAGGGTGGACCAGACTCCCGCAAAGCTTCCTGGATGAGAAGTGCCTAAGAGGGGCCGTGAGGTTGACAGGAGTGCGTGTGCTTTTTGATTTTTTAATATGGGGAAGACTAGCATGGTCAGGTGCTCACAGGAAGCAGTCACTTGTAGAGAGGGGGGAAAATGAACGGAGTGAGGTTTCGGAGGAGGGGGGAGAGGGAAGAGGAAGGCTTCGAGCCTTCACTGTGAGGAATTAACTGTGAGGCACTGAGTTAGAAGAACTCCAGTCTCCTGTGTCTCTCCTTTGCTCTCACACAAAATGTTCCTGACGTCAGATGTGTGGTGTTTCCCCACACCAAGAATGCTGGCACGCTGGCTGGGTGTCCTGCAGTTTAACTCCCCTCAGGCCTCCTGGGTTAAGGGCTCAAGCCCACAAGACCGCCACCCCCAGCCCTACGTCTTCAGTGCCAGCCACGAGGGGTAGTAGGTCCCTAGGTTACCCACAACCTCTGTGCATCTTGGCTACAAATTGGAGGTTCCCGTGATCTCCACTCCTTGGATTTAATTATTTGCTGGAGCAGCTCACAGAACTCAGGGAAACATGTATGGTCACCTGTTTATTAGAGGATATGGTGACGGGTACGGAGGAGTACCTGGGCGTGAGGTGCACAGGGGAGGTGTGGTGCAGTCCCACGCGCAGGAGCGCTGCCCCCTTGGGGTTGGGGTGCATCACGCTCCTGGTATATGGATGTGCTCAGCAACCTGGAAAGTCTCTGGACCCCATACTACTAGGATTTTATGGAGGCTTCCCCACGAAGGCACGACCAATTATTAACTCCATTTCCAACTCCTCTCTTCTCTCTGGAAAATGAGGGGTGGAGCTTCCAAGCTTCTAGTCATGGCCTGGGCTTTCGGGGTGCCAGCCTCCGCCCTGGAGCCCACCCAGGGTCGCCTCATTAGAACCGAAGATGTTCCTAAGTGCCCTTCTCACTTAGGAATTTATACGGGTTTCAGAAGCCCTCTGTCAGGAACTAGAAGCAGAGACCAGTATACGTATTCTCTGTCATTTCACAGATTACCTTATATTATCTCATTTAATCCTCCAGAAAATTCTGCTCAGTGAGAGGAAATGGAGGGTCAGAGATATTAAGCAACTTGCCTAAGGTCAGTCACACGGTGGATCAGTCTGTCTTTGCTCATAATCTTCTAGGATCTAGATCGTGGGGAGGATGATTAGCCTTAGAAATACTTCTGGGTGGAGCGCCTGGGTGGCCGACTTTCGCTTAGGTCATGAGCTCGCGGTTCGTGGGTTCGAGCCCCGCATCGGGCTCTGTGCTGACTGTCAGCTCAGAGCCTGGAGCCTGTTTCAGTCTGTGACTCCCTCTCTCTCTGACCCTCCCCTGCTCACGCTGTCTCTCTCTCTCTCTCTCTCTCTCCTGGAAATAAATAAAACATTTAAAAAAAAAAAAGTAAAGAAATACTTCTGTGGTGAGGGGAGAGTGTTTATCAGAATTGCCGAGGCAGGGTAGAGATCCAGTGGTCTCTGCAGTAGGGGACAGAGCGTTTCTTGTCTGACTGCCCACAGCACACTTGCTCTGTGTGTTGGCTGGAAGGTTGAGGAGACACGTGTGGGAATGGAGAGAACAGGCCAGAAGAGGCATTTTAGAGGGCATGGTCCTGATCTGAGTCTCAGGTGTGGTTAAGTGACTCCAGCCAGACCAGAGAGGGGCTTGGTGGTGGAGCGTATGACACTGATGTATTTTCTGAGCTGGTGGTTTCTGAGATTTGCTAATGGCTGAGGGCTGGTGCCTGAGAATGAAGTATGACGATCATTTCCAGAGCCCTTGCTGGGTACTTTGCATTTAAAGCTCACTTGAGGCCATTTAATTGGCCTTTTTGACCTAGAACTTTTTCTGATTTAAAGTCTATCTCTTTCCCAATTGCTTTCAAATAAAATGTGAACCATCTCAGAACATTTTTAGTTTAATAGAGCTCGCCAAGGAACTTCTAAAAATAAGTATAAATTTTTAAAGGTTAACTTGTATCTTTCCTTATGGCTAGGAGTTTGACTGGGGGTATGGAATATACAGTTGATTCTTGAATAGTGTGGAAATTAGGGGTACCAGTAACCCTCTGTGAGCAGTTAAAAATCCTTGTATAACTTTTGACTCCCCAAAAACTTAGCTACCGATAGTCTACGGTTGACCGGAAGTGTTACTGATAACATTGACAGTTGATTACACATTTTTTTGTATGTTATATGTATTATATACCATCTTCTTATAATAAAGTAAGCTAGAGAAAAGAATATTATTTTTCATGATTTTATCATAAGGGAGGCACTTGGGTAGCTCAGCTGGTTGAGTGTCCAACTTCGACTCAGGTCATAGTCTCATGGTCCATGGGTTCAAACCCCACAGCTGGCTCTGTGCTGACAGCTCAGAGCCTGGAGCCTGCTTCGGATTCTGTGTCTCCCTCTCTCTCTGCCCTCCCCTGCTTGTGCTCTGTCACTCTCAAAAATAAACATTAAAAGAAAAAACTTAAAAAAAAAAAACATCATAAGGAAGAAAAAATACGTTTACAGTACGGTACTGTATTTATCAAAAAAAATTGGCATATAAGTGGACCTGTGTAGTTCAAATCCGTGTTATTCAAGGGACAACTGTAAAGATATCTCACTTTCGAAACATTCTTGGAATCATCTGGGATGATGGTAGTAATGTGCATTGTCTTTACTTGGTGTTTTAATCTTGGTCAGAAA